ATTAAGGCTTTCACAAAGCACTTTTGAGTTCAAGGGGAAAGAGTCACCAGTCCTGGTCTTCTTATGCCACATGGGGTATTCTTCGCTGCTAGAAAGGACAGCACGGGTCAGGCCAGTCTGCCACAAGGACAGCCTGAAGTAGGCCCACCCTTTTCTTTACTAGCTACCATAGGATTTCTGAGCTAGCAATGTTAAGTTGTTATTTTCTGTTACAGAGATCGATCCAATGGAGTGGATTTCTTTTCCAGAGGTTTATTAATATTTACAACCCACTATATTTTATGTTGCATCTTATTTCTTCTACATAGTCCCAGTATTTAATAACAATAGGCGTTTGTGCTACTAATGCTGTTTTAGTCATTTTGTTAGACGTTATAGTCTGAGAAAGGACTGGTTGTAAATTTTGGAGGAAGGGCTCTGTCAGAGGTGGCATTCAGCAGGCTCTGATCAGTTCTGGAGAACCGGTAGTGGAAATTTTGAGTAGTTTGGAGAACTGGTAAATACCACCATTGACTGGCCTTGCCCCCATCTATTCTCTGCCTCCCAAGTCCCAGCTGATCGGGAGGAAATGGGGATTTTGCACTGACCTTCCCCTGGAGTGGGGAGGGAATGGTGATTTTACAGTATCCTTTCCCTTCCAAGCCCACCAAACCACTCCCACCAAGCCACATCATGCCCACCAAGCCACGCCCACAGAACCGGTAGTAAAAAATTTTTGAATCCCACCACTGGGCTCTGTTCACTTAGGAACTCAATGAAATATAACAGAATAACAGAGTTGTAAGGTCTTGGAGGTCTTCTAGTCCAATCTAGGCACCTATGATTAGAAGGGGCAAAAATTCTCCATGCATTCTTGTTCTTCCTGTATGAATGTGATTTATTTGGTCCCAGAGATTTAAACATTAGAAGTGAAGAACTGTTCCATGGCGATGTCACTATGAATCACCACCTGCATATCTGTCTTTTCAGCCTGCTTTAAAAAAAAAATTCTGGTCACTTTTTGTTGTCATTGTTAAGAGGCTGTCATTGCTAAACAGCTGTGATTTTTCTGTGTTGTGCATTACCATATCTACCGTGTTTTCCCGAAAATAAGACAGGGTCTTATTTTCTTTTGACCCCCGAAATAAGCGCTTGGCCTTATTTTCGGGGAGGTCTTATTATTTTTGAGGTGCAGGAGGCAGTGAGTGTGGTCACCTCATGGCTGCTTCTGTGTTGCAGTATTTTCAAAGAGGGCTTATTTTTTTGGGGGGGGGCTTATTTTAGTGCAAGTGCCCAAAAGCCCGACTGGGCTTATTATCCAAGGAGGTCTTATTTTCAGGGAAACAGGGTAGTAGTCCTCCAATTTTTCTAATAACAACCCTGTAAGGTGGATTCGGCTGAGAGAATGATTCATTATTATTATTATTTTTTTGTAAATCCAGGCCCGGTTTCAAAAATAAAATAAATATTTTAAAAACTCAAGACGTTCATTTCTCAGAATTTGAGGAGGCTCTAGACTAGGACAGAGAGATTAGACCCTACAAACCTTGGCTAATGGGGAGTCAATTGTCATGTGTGATGAGGGGCAGGAGGGAGATCCCTGCAGGTTGGCCAGGAGGGGTGAAAGAGGGGGATGAACTGGGACAGTGCAGTGGAATTCCAGACATTCCTGGACAGACATTTGCTGCCCTCCATTGATGAAACCTTTTCTCCCTTCCAGGTCAGTGAATAATTTCCTGATGACTGGTCCCAAGGTAAGTACGTTCCCTTTGATCTCCATTCCTAATTCCAAGAAGCACGAATCATCCAGACCTTGTCTCTTTCCTTCTTCCCAGATTGGATAAATCTGTAGCTGGATATTTGCAAGCTACAACTTGACTTGTAGAGAGCCAGAAAACTGTTTCTGCTGTTTAAATCCCTGCTTTAAAGAAGAGAAACCCTGTGTGCAAATTATTTAATTGAATTAAATTGTGGGACAGGTATGTGCCATTAATCCTTAAGTAGTGGCAGCAGGAAAATTGGCTTGTAAACGCTAATGGTGAGATTGCCTCTCTCAATCAGGGGTGGGTTCCTGCTGGCATTACTACCAGTTCAGTGCGCAAAAAAAATTTGCTCCATGCGTGTCCACATTTGCACCTAAACAGGTCTAAACAATTGATTGAATTAAATTGAATTGATTGATTACTGTGATTCATGTACATGGAATTTGTTCAAAACCACTAGCCCCTGTAGGTTGCTTATGGGAACCTGGTGTTTACACTATGCAATGTTTACTGGCTGAATTACACTGGACTATCAGTTGGTTTTTATTTGTGTAACAGTAACAGAGTTGGAAGGGACCTTGGAAGTCATCTAGTCCAACCCCCTGCTCATCAGGAGACCAGTACTAGGGATTCAAACCGCTGAACTGCCGACCTTTCTGATCAACAAGCTCAGTATCTTAGCCACTGTACCAGGCAGCCTAGTGTTTTCGTATCAGTTCTAACATGCTTTGGCTGGTATCTGTACACCATTTTAGATCTCTAGCTTCGTAAAGTCCCAGGTTCCTGCTGTTTCCTTCATTGCATCTTCCTAGCAGCATGTTTGGCCAGGAAATCCTTCAGAGTCAATACTATACTGTTAAGAACAAGGGGTGTCAAACTCAATTTCATTGAGGGCCACATCAGGGTTGTGTTTGACCTCAGGGGCCAGAGTGGGTGTGGCTGAGGTAGGCATGACCAGCTTGACATCACTGATGTTGGGGGCGTCGGTAGTTGTCCAAACGCTCAGCCAGTGAAAACGGGCTCCCGAGCTCCGTTTTCAGCCGTGACGACCTCCTGCCATCCTCTGCTAGTGAAAATGGAGCACAGAGGGCTGCGTCCCCCCCCCAGTTCCATTTTCATTGGCAGAGGGCGGCAGGAGGCTGTTGTGGCTGAAAACAGAGCCCAGGAGGGCCACATGCGGCCCTTCCGAACTCCATTTTTGCTGACAGGGGCCCCACGGGCTGGTCCTTTGCTGTTTCCAGAGTGGCCCGCAGGCTGGATCCGGCCCCCGGGCCTTGTGTTTGACAGCCCTGGTTAAGAAGATTGTAAAATTCTGGCTTTTCCATGAGATATTTGGTTAAAAATGGACATCTTCTGAATATATTGTGGTCTGCTAATAGTTATTTTAAAAAAAACCAATTACTGTTAAACTTCTTAGAGGAAATGGGAATACTCTGCTTGGCCTATCATGAGCTACTCTCTGCTTCCTGAGCGTAGGAAGGGCTCGTCCCCCTCCCATTCCCTACCCATTGCAAATGTGCCTCAAACCAGCGTTTTGCCTAAAAATTGTTTTGGAAAAATGGGAATGTTGATGGTTTTAGCCATTTTCCTGGAAGCAGAAAAGAGCAACCAAGATGATTAGGGGACAGGAGGCTAAAACATATGAAGAGTGGTTGCAGGAATTGGGCATGTCTAGTTTAATGAAAAGAAGGACATGGGGAGACATGATAGCAGCGTTCCAATATCTCAGGGGTTGCCACAAAGAAGAGGGAGTCAAACTATTCTCTGAAGCATCTTAGGGCAGGAGAAGAAGCAATGGGTGGAAACTAATCAAGGAGAGAAGCAACTTAGAACTGAGAAGAAATTTCCTAGTTAGAACAATTTCCTAGTTAGAACAATTTATCAATGGAACAACTTGCCTCCAGAGGTTGTGAATGCTCCAACACTGGAAGTTTTAAAGAAGAGATTGGATTGCCATTTGTCAGAAATGGTGTAGTGTCTCTTGCTTGGGCGGGGGATTGGACTAGATGATCTCCAAGGTCCCTTCCAACTCTGTTAATCTGTTAATCTGTTAATCTGTTAATC